CTGGATATGTGCTGTGGTTGTTAGCCCATGCCAAAACCTGTGCAGTCACATTTAAACTGTTACCATTACCTGGGCTAGCTAAATTAAAGCTAGCATGAAGGTGCCTACCTGCGCTACAACCACACCTTCACTTGCAGTATAACCCAAAATCTCACGCCAAGGTCTATATCTTGGACTCCAACAGCTGGTTTGAAACTGCAGGGCACAGCAATTGTTAGTACAAGTGTAGTCTGACACCCAGTGGTTTTACAAAAACAATTAATGGATAAAATTAATGATCTAACTAAGTGATAATTGCTGGAGATCCAGTTCTTACTTACCTCACTCATGCCCTGAAGTCAGTGGTACTACTCATCTGAATAAGGCAAGTAGGATTTGTCCCCCAAGGGGTGCTGGGTTTTTGGAGTTGTGTGAAAAAGCAGTGCGAGTCTGTGAAATAGTGTAAAGACGGTTTCTTAACTAAAGTTTGATTGTATTATAGTTATAGCAGTCGCAATATCAATAGTAGCTTGAGTCTGATCTCACACCAGTTTTATGCCGGTGTAAGGGTAGCTGTTTGAAATACAGCATAACAGGCAAGTTTGAACCAATGTTGCTATAGTGCCAATATTTCAACACCAGCCCAAAACACACTACACAATTTGATGTAGCCATATCCCAAACTGTCCCCCTCAACACCAAGCATTTCTCATTAGAGTCGAGGGAAGAGCATCTAGGTACTCAGCAATTTTGAATATCAGGCCTAATTTTCAGTGCCTAAATATGGACTTAAGAACCTAACTTTAGGCTCCTATTTTAAAAAAATCTTGGAAATTTTAAACTGACGTGTTGTTATACTGCAATTTGGGTGAGTTCTGTTCCACTTTGCAACCCTAACTTCAAGTTAACAAAGTTTGTTTTTGTCTGTGAATAATAAAAGAAAGCTTGTCTTTGAATAAAATGTTGTATATTGTTTAAAAATAAAGGAAGAACTACATTTCCCTAATAGTATTAATATTTATTATTTATATTATGCTAGTGCCTGTAGGCCCCAACCAAAATCAAGTCCCTGTATTACTAGGTGCTGTATAAACAAAGGAAGAGACAGTTCAGTTCCTGCCCTGAAGAGCTTACAATGTAAATAGACAAGACAAACAAAGGATGGATGATAAAACAGAGGGTTGGCGAGAAGAAGTAACTTGCCAAAATTCACAAAGTAGGCCAGTGGCTGAGCTGGCAGTAGACACGGGTCAACTGATTCCCAGGTTAGCACCCTAGCCAATAGACCTGAAGCAATAGCGAGCTTTTCATTAACAATGAGTTTCTGGCTGCAGGAATAATAGAGTTCATAGTCCACTATTTTAAAAAATGACTGCCCAGAGCTAAAGGGCACATGTCAACTTGTTAGCTTTGCTGAACTGAACAAAATACATCAGGCTTGATTATTCACTGCCTTGCCCTTTGTCTAGTATATCTATAAACTACTGTTGTTATTTTATAATACGTCATTAACATTTTGGTCCCAGGGCAGAGTACCGTATATTTTATTGCTTATGGTGTTGACTTGCTCCTTTGGCTTCTGTTCTGAAAGTCAGAGGCACTTGATTGGTTGGAATTGAACCATCCAAGCCACACAGCTCACAACTACATTAGATGTTTCTTCATAAATCTCCCATCCAAATTCTTAACAGGCCTGAATCTGTTTAGCTTCTAAGAAACTGGTGAGGTCACAACCCCTAGTGAAATAGCTGTATTTATTTCCTGCTCATAAAGTCATTTATGGAAACAATCCGACTAGCTCATCCAGTCCATCACACTGCCAGTTCAGGATGCTACCCTGCAATACATCTTCTGGTGCTTTGTTCTATCTAGATTTAAGTATCCCCAGATGATGAGGTTTCAATGTATGTTACACAGCTTAATACACTTCTCTGTCAAGATTTTTTCCCATTCAGTTTAAACTCTCCCTTTTTCAGAGACACACCTATAGTCTTGTACACCCAGGCATTAAAAGAAAGAATGCCTCTCCCTCTTTGATATAGAATCATAGAATATCAGGGTTGGAAGGGACCTAGGAGGTCATCTAGTCCAACCCCCTGCTCAAAGCAGGCCCAATCCCCAACTAAATCATCCCAGCTAGGGCTTTGTTAAGCTGGGCCTTAAAAATCTCTAGGGAAGGAGATTCCACCACCTCCCTAGGTAACCCATTCCAGTGCTTCACCACCCTCCTAATGAAAATGTTTTTCCTAATATCCAACCTAAACCTCCCACGCTGCAACTTGAGACCATTACTCCTTGTTCTATCATCTGGTACCACTGAGAACAGTCTGGATCCATTCTCTTTGGAGCTCCCTTTCAGATAGTTGAAAGCAGCTATCAAATCCCCCCTCATTCTTCTCTTCTGCAGACTAAATAATCACAATTCCCTCAGCCTCTCCTCATAAGTCCTTCGATATATTCCTCTGCTTTCTTTCAAATAGGGGTCAGCTGCTTTCTTGTCCCTACTTAGCTGCTGTTTAGCCAATCTATACATACTGGCCGAAATTCTTCACTGGGTTACACCCTTGAAAATCCAGAGAAATTCCACAGATTTTGGCAAAGTCAGTCCTGACTTAAACTGGTGTAACCAAGAGCAAAATCTGGCTCACTCTATGAATCTCCTTTATAAATCAATCCCTCCACCCTGCTGATAATCTTTGTTGATCTTATCTGAACTGCACCTAGTTTGTCAATATCTTTCTAGCAATGAAGTTCTCAGAACTGAACACAATATTTCAGGCGCAGGCACATAGAGCCACATAGAGGGGAAATATCACCTCTTTGTTTCATTAGGATTTTCTCTTTGCACCCTAAACTTGTATTGACCATATCACAGCAGCCATATAGTATTAAAAACTGAAATGTAGTTTGCTGTCCACTTTCATCCCTTTCAGCATTGCTGCTTCCTATATACTCCCACTGAATATATGTGTTTGAGATTACTTTTCCCTAGGGAAACAATAGGCATTTATTCAAGTTGATTGCTATTTCGCTATACTCTGGCCATTTTTATAATTTTTCTCTGACCCTCTGTATCATCTCTTTGCACTCGGTGGTGTTTTTGGCTCCAGTATTTGAACAACTGCCTTATCTTGATGTCAGGTAAGCATGCCTGGAATTTTATTCTTGTTAACAAATTTTCTGTTGAATGTTAGTGCTTAGGAAAGATGCTGAATTTAAGCCATGCAGATTAAAGTCTTCTCTTTATCCATATAATAAATACCACATGGGCCACGGGAGCACCAGTGTCCTTACCCTCCCCTGCCAATCAGCTTTTCCCTGCCTACTGCACGGAAAGCCGAGGGTGAAGGGTATTTCAGTTTCTCTGTTCACTCTATTATTGCAATTGTTACCATTGTGACGGTATCTCCCATAAGGCTTTATGGAAATATGCTTAGAATGTGTTTTATGCTACATATGCCATGTAACATATCTCTGTAAAGGTCATAATCTACGGAATGTATTAATCCTATTTGCATGCATGT